ACCTGTTGCAGAACCCATCACAGTGCCAGACACATAGCACTAGTAAAATTGGGTCGTTTTTTCTGTTCTTTCACTTTCACTTTTATTTTTGCTTACTCTTCTGTCATCCTTGAGCATCTTGTAGTTCTCCTACAGTGTTAGCGTAGCCTGCTGATCAGCACTATACGGTTAAAGTCAGCCCTATGACAAGCAATCAGGGTGCTTTCTGGTTCTTCTCTGTCCTTAGGTCCTGTAGCTGTCACTGTACTGAACATGATGAATGAGGTTCTCAGCCACAACCTTTGCTAGAGTTACAAGGATGGGACTTATAACTCCCTGATCCTGTTCTGGGCTTTGCTGCCTTGTGGTTGGCAAAGCTGAGCAATGTCCCTAGAGCTTCTGGTCACAAGCAGGCACAGGCATGGCTTGGCACAGTATTGCTGCTGCCTGTGTCAATGTTGTTGCAAAGGCATATTAATTGAAGGTCTGTGGGAACCATCTCCAATTCAGATAATTCCACTTCAGCTGAAGCTTTTTGTTTTCTCATTTTGGAATGGTGCTTCAAAAACAAACAAACAAACAAACAAACAAAAAAATCCTACAAAAAAAATCACACTCTTAAAATTGTTACAGAGTTCAAGTAGGAATTAAAACTGGTTTGAATTAAACTTCCTGTGTAACCTCAGACGTTATTCTGTTTTATGTTGTCTTGCTTGCTGAAATGTTTCTCTTTAATTTTTTTTCCCCTCAGCCACAGGCACTTTATCACTACAAAAGATAATGAGACTGAGTTCCAGTGGCTACCATGCCATGAATCTGAGCTGTCTCTTTGTACCCCTAGGAAGCACTCTGTAGCCATAGATTGAGGCGGAAGCGCGAAGCAGTTCATGTGGGAGGTTTGTCATGCTGCTGTCCTAGAGATAAGCAGAAAGCTTCACTGAACAAAGCTGCACTAGCATTAACCACACAGCTCTTAGAGACAGCATACAGGCACATCCTAATTAATCACAATTATGCAAACTCATGCATTTGCATACAGCAGTGTGCACGGAGTTACAGGGATTTTGGCAGTGATGCCTCTTGGCTGTGACTTAGCCAAGAAGGGAACCTCAGCACCTGTGCACCTGCCCCAGGAAATCAAACAGAGAGACAGACTCTGCACTCCTCCAGCTGGGAACAAGGGCAAAAAAACAAAGGCTTGCTTAAGGTTGCGTTGTAGCTTCTATTTCCCTACTTAATGAGGAAGCTACCTTTCTGCTTTATACTTTCCACCTGAGATTTGCATGGCCCTTTAGCGATTCAGCTAAACCACTGTGCTCCTCCTTTGAACTGGGAGACTCAAAAGCAGCTGCCAGCTGGGCAGCACTCTGAATTTACAGTTCTAACACCTCACTTTGACCATGTGAAACTCACTGCCTCAGCCAGATTCCAAGCAGTGACACTACTTACCTTCCTGGGCCCTTCTCAGCTATCAGCAGAGTTCCAAAGGGAGGGAGGTGAATCTCAGTGCCAAACTGGCTGCAGGGCTTTGGGGTCTACGTGCAGCCTCCATCCGTGATACTCATAGCATTGAGCTGTGTACTGCTTGCCACATAAAGGCCATGTCTTCAATTTTGTCTCTGTATGGACCGATGCAGGAAGACCAAGTATTATTTATGACTCTAGAATTAGATGCTGCTCAGTTACAGAGGAAGATGGTGCTGTTATAATCTGTTTCTTATACTCAGGCACGATTGCCTGCAGCACAACTGCAAATGCAAATTCATTAAACAGGAAAACTTACTTTCATTTGCTTTGGAAGGGAATACAGAGATTCTCCCTGCTCTCCCAGATGCTGCAGGTACCTGTTAGTTCCTTTCTCCAAACAAACAGAAATCCTCCCCTGACTCTTCAAATTCAAAAGCAGATACCTTCCAGGCTGGTGCTGACTGCTTATGGCCCCCAGCTGCACCCATCCCAGCTGAATAAATAACAATATGTTAAAATGAGAAATGCTGAAAACTTTGCTTTTTGTGAGCAGCAACAATAAGATCAGAAGACACTTAGGTTGAAGAGACTGTGCTCATTTAACAAGAAAAAAAATCTTAAGTGAATGTGTGAATGAGGGTGAGCACTTGAAAGTAGTATGATAATAGAGCACAATGAACAGGGCGAATGTTCCCACCCTTCTTTTCTGAATGACTGATGTTATAACCAGAGATGCTGGTGCAATGCATGAAGAGAAAAATATTAGGCAATATCATTATATGGTAAAAATGAAATCCTTCGTGTTGATTTCTATGGAACCAGTGCCACTGCAAGATACAGCCCAAGACAGGTGAGAGGAGTGTGAGGACAGAAGTACATGAAAGTAATGAGAAATGATCACAGGTACTGAATCCCAAGTGAATACAGCTCAGGAAGCCTTCAAGAAGATTTTCTTTCCAATTTACTTCTGGTTTATAAATGACAATGAACAAATATGCTTCTCTGAGATGAATGCCTCTCTAGCAGTGAGATCCTGTCATTAATCATTTATACATGTATCCTTGTTAGCTTTATTTTCAGTGCAATACAGTGTTTTACTTGTGGCTTTACACACAATTATGGCAAGATATAGCTATGTGCTGATCATCTTTTTGAATACAAGAGGGGCAGTGCAAACAGCCTTCATTGGAGGGCACCCTGAGGCACGAGGAGCACTGAATGCTGTGTGCCACCCTCTCGGCAATCATGCTGCTAATCTAGTGCGCAACTAGATGGAGCACTGCAAATTAGGGCTGCAGGATCAAGATGTTGCTGGCACTTTTATCTGCAGCTGCACACTTCAGTTGGCTATTGCTAATCGCTAACATACAGAGTTTTTGTCATCCGTCCATGAAGAATATACATCTGAAACTATAAATCTTCTCTGCAAGACTGAGAAGCAGATTGAAAATGAAAGAAAATTTGACTTGCCCTCATTTAGGCTTTTCTCAACTATATATAGAGTGCTTAAAGGATTTATTATTGTATAGTTTAGCAAGATGTGCACTTTTTCTTCTAGTGATTCAAGCCTTTCTTAACATTTACTATAATATTGTAATATGCTAATTTACGTTTCAAAAGAACAAAAGCATATGAAAACAGGCCTTGAACATTCTCCAGCTCTTACAGTTCTTATTCTTATCTAACAATGATCCTGACGAACAGCTGAGAGAGGCAGTTCTTCCTTGGCACTGACTTCCCACTCCTTCCAGCAAAGGCCAAAAGCTCAGTAATACGCTCAGCAGCTCTGGTAAAACTTGGGGGAACTTTGGCAGTACCACTGAATATCAAAAAACTTTACTGGTATCAGCCTTCAGATATACAATACGTTGCTATTTATATTGTATAGCAACATACAGAGGTTGCTCCAAAAGTGATGCCTCCCATTTATTTCCAAGGAAAACATGACAGATACAAAGAGCACAATAACACTATTTGATAGAGCAAATTATCAGCTATAAAACACCATTTTTTGACATGGTCACCACCATTAGCTATGCATTTTCACCAGCCATGAGCAAGAATCTGCCTGCTGTGTTTGTCAAAATCTGCACCAGTGGAGGTGACTAACTGTTGTCATCATCACTGCTGAAACTCCCATCACCTCAGTGCTCACATTCACTGTTTGGTCTCCATAAGCGTTCAGCAAGTGTCAGTGAATGACAATGGGTGCCATATTTTTCACAGGGAGGAATTCAGTTCCACACCTTTGCTTCTTCTGCACTTCTGACATGATACCACTCTGTCAGACCAACCCTCTGCTGCCATCTGTCACATGGCAGCAATGTGTAATGGAATACTGGGGGGAAGATTCAGCGTCTACCGCCATGCCACCAACATCTGCCTCTGACACGGTGGGACAACATCACAAAATAGGAGGCATTAATTTTGGAGCCACCCTCGTGAATTCTAATATCTTTGTTTATACCTAAAATACTTCTGCTTATCCTTCAAATATTATTCTCAAAACCACAAGGGTTCTGCTTTCATGGACATGTAAGCGCATCAAACATTAAAGAGCAAGGCAATTACAGTGGGGCTGATGAATTCTTAATCTCACGAACAGCAGTAAATTGAGGGAGAACACAGTTTCATCACTGGTCGTTCCTTTGTGATTAAGTATTAGATATCTGCAATGTCAAACATTCTGTAGCCCTATTTATTTGATTAATTTAATTGTCACTCTAATTAATTTAATTATTTCGTAGCAAGGGTTGAGAGGTGCATTCACGGCTCTGTAGGGAGCTCGGCTGATTCTCAGCTTCGTACTTCGCCGAGCGCTTACAAAGCCACTGCCCTTCTCGTTCGGCTGTGTCTGAGTGATGGATGCGCCCTCTGCTCGCTTCTGCCTCCGTGCCGCTGTTCGCAGATTAACACAGGGGATGGGAGAAATCACAGGGCGTTAAATTAAGCGTGTGGATACATTGTTGGAGGACGGACCCCTCAGTCCTTGCACTTTCGTAGCGATGAGCACACCTAAGCACCTCTGACTTGCGGAGGGGAAAGGAAGAAAAACAGAGGAGGGGTTTGCGGGGGGTGGAGAGGGAAGGAGGATGAAAGGAAGCTGGTTTCTCCGGAAGCCAAGTAAAAATATGGAGTAGGGGGAGGCAGTAGAGGGGTCTTGCAGGTTTGTTGCTCGGCGGAACGGACCCATCCTTACAAAGCAACTTCTGAATCTCCGGGCGAGGCTGGGCCCGGATCTCCTCGTCCCGCAGAGCGGCGGGTTCGTGCCGCGGGGCTGTGTGTGCCGCTCCACGGCCTCCCCCCGCGGCTCCGGGACGGCGCCTCCTGGGCCGAGCGGCAGCCGCGGAGCGAAGCGCTTGCGCCCCGCTGAGCTCCGGGAGGCGGCAGCGGGGGCTGCACCGGGAGCAGGGGAAGCGCCCGCCTCCCTCCACTGCACTCGGCCTCGCGCTGACAGCCGCGCCGCGGAAACGGCCCGAAAAGAGAACTTGTGCGTCCCCGGCTGCCGCCCCGCTGCTCGCATCCTCTCCTGCAGCGCATCCGCCCGCCCTCCGGGCGCTGCCCTCCCATCCTGGGGCTTGGGGCCGGCCCGCCTGCTCCGAGCCGGGAAGCTCTTTTCACTCGGAGGGGTTTTGTCGCTCGCGGCGTGCCGAGGGGAGGCACCGTCCCTAAGGCACCCAAGCCTCACCCTGCGGGGGAAGGGAGTTGGGTGGGGGCAAGCCAGGAAGGGAGGATCTCCGCGGCTCTCCTAAAATCAATCAGCAGGCTGCAAGGAGGAAGAGTTTGGCACTTCGCAGGCGAGACTGGGCTTGTTTTCCCCAGCGGGGATGCCGCTGAACTGAGAGCGGCCGCGCAAGTTGGGGGGACGGAGCCCTCCCCATCCGCCGCCCCCCAACCCCGCTCCAGCCCCCGCCACCCCTCAATGAGAGCTCCTGCGAGGGAAGGGCGACTCGGTGCCTGTTAGGGCTGCTTCCCGCCGCCTGCCGGACTTCCACCCTCCGACGAGGAGCGGCGCGCACCCCGCACCCCGGAGAGTTGTCTCGGCAGCTTCGTGCTATGGCGAGGCTGCGGAGAAGCAAACTAGCCGCTGGATTTCTATTACTTTTCCAGTTCCTGAGCGAACGCTACCAGCTCGCCGGCGGAGAGACGCCGAGTCAGAGCCACGGTAAGTGAAGCTGGTACCTGCCGGGCAGGGCAGCACCAACGGGCCCGGGGCCGGAGGGAAGAGAGCGCGGATTGGGGTTAGGCTCCCACTGCCCCCCGGGGTGACCGCGGCACAGGGTCTGCACTCCTCCTTCGCCGGCTTCTCCGGGAAGAGCTCCCCCTCGCTTTATTTATTTATTTGAATGAGAACTCGGGACTTTCCTCCCTCCACCATAAGTGGGAGCCGGTACTGTTTTCCCCAGTCTCTCCGTGCGACCTCTGTAGATTCCTTCCCGGCTCCCGAAGGAGAAGAAAGGGCTCTGCCGGGAGTCGAGAGAGGCTCCGGGAAGCCCGAGGTAGCGGGGGAGGCGGGCGGGATGCCCGGTTCCCCCCCCTCTCCACAGCGGCGGGGCCCCACTGCAGCCCCAGCAGCGAACCGTAGGAGGGGAGGCAAAGTTTCCCTCCTCACCCGCTGGGAGAGCCAGCGGGCACTCCGCTTCCCTGCTACTTGCAGCTTTCCCTGAAAACCAAGCGCTGAGAGAGGGATCTTGGAGCAGCCTCCGAGGGCTGTGGGAGCTGTTAGTTTAGAACGAGAGGTTTGTCCTGCTGCCTAAATTTGGTTGCGGTGGTATCAGGGTCCTCCCGGAGACACCTGTTAGTGCGTGGCACACAGCACCTGTGGTGCGTTTCAGCGGGGCTCCCTGCTGACCGCCAAAGCCTCAGCGTCCCGCATTCCTGCGCTGCGGAGTGGAGAGTTACCGAGGGAAGCTCAGTGCGTCTGCAGATAGGTATTTGAGTAGCGAGTGAGGAAAAGCTCGGTTTTGTACGCCAGGGGATCTTGCTGCGGCACCTTCTACCTTATATCTATGTATATGTACTTGTAAAAGCTCTGCTTTTAATGGTTGAAGTACCAGCCAGTTTTAGACCAGCTGAAATATGTCCGTGGTGTACCAGAGCTGCCCTTTCCTCCTTTTCTGTAAGGTCTGGTACAGACGTGTGGCATTCTGTGGTCACAGAGTAAGTGCCCCAAACAGGAGAGCCATGGGAGCTCTCTGCAGTGCCGGCTGAGACACGTGCCAGGCAGAGGGGACTGTTCCCAAACAGGGGCCTATTGCTGGGTTGGGAATGGTTAAAAGGCCAGGTAGCTCAGCAGGTTGCTAGGGGCTCATATGGCATGTAGGGCTGAAGGGAAAAAGCAGACTGTCCATGCAGTGCTGCAAGATGCGTGTGGCTGTTCACAGGGGTTTGGATAGCAGTTGTTGGTGTTTGGTAATGTTATTGGGTGAAACGAGCATGGCTGTGAAAGTACAGAAAGAAAATGACTGTGTTGTGTGGCAGAGGACTAAGTTTACAAAGTTTATTCACTTATTGCCATCATATCTTTAAAAGAAAGTCTCGTTGCTGACTAAATGAAATACGATTTATCAGTAGACAAAGAATAGCTGCTTGTTACTCAGTGAGGCTATTGAGTTGTAATAGTCAACAAGATCTGTGCTGAGGAGGTGCGCAGCAGAAACTGCACCAGCAGCAACCTTATCTCTAAGTCATTGGTTAGTGCCTGGTGTGTTGCTGAGCACAAGGGGAAGTAGCAAGGAGTTAATAATAAGCAAATGTTACCTTGACATGTAATGCATTCTGAAGAAAATATATGAAGAGATTGTTGCCTTCTGCTGCTAAGGTGGACAATCTCATGCCAGTTCTGACAGATGGGTGTCTATAACCATGAAGTCTTTTCCTTTCCACCTTGAATAAAAAAGTTTACATAATGACAGCAACACTCAGATGTCATTAATGTAATCAGAGTCATATTTAACATGTTTTCATCATTACAATTTTAAAAAGTTTTTAATATATGTTGCTTTTTTACAGTATATAACTCAGTATATAGACTGTGTCTAGCCAGTAAGTAAAGGATTATTAAATAAAGCTGGAGGGACTCAAATTGAGGTTCTGTGAGCCAAAATAAAAAAAGAGTTGTTTCAAAGTTTCACTCTATTTAGCATCCAGTGTATCTCTTTGGAGTAACTCACATTAAACCTTTGAAGAATTAAAGTAGAAACCAAATCTTTGAAGTAGCTGCAGTTACTTAATGGGAAGCCGGTTCTGATATGCGCAGTGGCAAAACACCATATTGAAAGTGAATGAGATTAACAGTCAAGAAATGCAAATGTTAAGTATGCCTTTAAGAGCTAGAACCAGGAGAGGGTTTCTGAGGATGGCACCAGAGGGCTACGACACTGCTTCAACAGAAACTGGGGGGGAGGTGGGGGGGAGAAATAAAACAACCACCAATAAATACATATATACTGCTCGTTCTTTTTCCCCCTAAGTTCCTAAAATTTCCTCCCTGGGCACAATCAGGTGGGATTCATTGAAGCGAAGCCATTTCCCAGGCAGGCTGGCACCCGCCTGCTGCCCCTGGGTGATGTGATGGAGCCGGGGCTGCGGGAAGCGAGGAGCGGGGCTGTCCCCACCAGAGGGCACCGCGGCCGCTGCAGCTCCCGGAGCGTGGGCACAGTTTCCTCTGCCTTGGGGAAAACGCTCTGCATCAAGAGTGAAAGTTCTTAAAGGTTTGTGTTCAGTGCGTGTTTGACATAACCGAGCTGCGTGTGACACGAATTCAGTGAGCTGAAGCAGTGTGCTCTTTTGAAAGCTTGCCCAACAATGAGGGCTCCCGGGTGTTTGAGTGAGGGCTGGCTGCTTGCTGAAACGTTGCAATAGGAAGCCATGAAAATGTGTTCTTTAGCTAACGCTGTCAGAATAAGGAGGCTGTTATTGCAAATTCTCTTCTGTCAAAGCATATTCTGGGTGTAATTTATACTCACTGGACTGCTGCTGTTTCTAAGCATCGCCATTCAAAGAGGGGTAGAATTACTTTTATGGGATAAACTACTATTAGTGCTTATTTAGTATTTATCTACTGAAATAGTCACAGGTTTGTACAGCTTGAGTTTACACTGTTTAGAACATCACCATCACCTGCAGCTTTTATCTTACAAGTATCAAGCAAATTATGACTTAAGGCATCACATGTACCAGACTTTTTTCTCTTTGCATTCAAAATTACTTTGTTGTTGTTGTTGTTGTTTTGTTTAGTTTTCCTTTTGTACAAGATCTGCAAATAGAAACAATCACTGAGGTATCCCAGTGACGTTTATGAGTAAATCCTATTGGCATATGTCAAGTTTTTTTTACCAAGAATTCCCTCTGAAGAAGTAATGTCTTAACTTTCAACCTGGTTCTTCCTTTTATTTTTATTTTTTCCAATTTTTGTAATCATCATTTCTGCTGAAAGTGTGGTTTGAAATATTGCTATCAAATGGCAGATAAGCCAATCTTATCACAGTCTTGATTTAGTTATTAAAGTCACTCTCATAGAAACTCATTTCCACAAATTTAGAGTGAGAAAAGTAGCTGCAGTTTCCTGATGGTTTGAAAATCCCCTGGGGAAACCAATGTTTCTGTTTGGTTGTAAATATTCCTCCTTGCAATTTTCATACTCAGAAAGGCACTTAAAATCCAGCAAACACTTGACTCTGAATCTGGCTCTTGTTCTGACCCTTAAGTAGGAGTTGATTATAAATAACAGGGAAACCACTTTCCTATGCTGTAGACACGTAGGAAATGACAAAATGATCTTTATATTTGAAAAGTCCTTTCACTGTGGGCAGCAATTTATTAGCAACACATACAGGCTGTTTAAAGCAAAGCGCTGAAGCAATGTCCGCTGTGCTGAATACCACGTTCTTCTGAAAACCTTTGCAGTTCACTAAAGCTGTTTCCTGTAGGACAAGAGACTCCTGAGGCCATGAAGGAATCAGAGGAGGGAATTCATAATGTTGGGTAATGAGAGAGACCCACTGAGAAAAATAGTCACAGGCTAGTTTTAGTGTGAGTTAGTTGTTCATGATGTGTGAGTTTGCACATTCATTAAAGTGTTTTGGCCCAGTGGAGCAGGGCTGCTGTTCCCTACACCTGCACTGACCTCAGGAGATGGAGGTTTGAACCTGGAGCTGTGTTTCCTGCGGGACTATGAGATGCTGCTTTGCTTTGAATTAAGCTAGTGATGGATATCATACCAAAAAACTCTGTCGGAATCCCGGTTTTCTCTATTAAGGAATTGAAAAACAAAATTTTTTTTTTTTCCTTTTTGAAAGAAGCTTCATCATTTGACTCTGTTTTTCACAAAAGTCACTGTTGTTTTGTTGGGCTCTCTGCAGTATTGAGCAGTGATGCTGTTGGTAACTCGAAAGGCACTGGCAACAAGAAAACTCTATTAATGCCCCGGTTTCAAAACCAATCAAGGCTACAGTCCGTGTATTGGTGTAACTGCTATGAGCACAAGTTTCCAGTGTGGTTTGTGCTTCCTAAGGAAAATTAATACCAATGCAATTTGAGAAAGCAGTAGTTAAGGTAAGCGTGTGCTGGGGCCCTGCGCGCAGGGAAGTGAACAAAAGGTCATTTGACAGAAGCATTTCTCATCTAGTACGAGGAAATGTTGTATGCTTGCCAACAGTGTGAAATTATATCCAACTATTAGGTTTGATGAGGGCTGAGCTGGGAGTGTTAATGTGGTGCAATTGGCAGATGCTGTATTTACTAAACCAGAGAATTGCGTAATCACAGCAGAAACTCAAAGAGCCTTGGAGATTACTTTCCATGCAAAAGTATGCAGACAAGCCACGCTAAGTGCACGTGGGTTTTGTTTTTGTTTGTGGCTTCTGAAAAATGAGCTTAAAGCATTGCTGTGAGGTAATGTTTGTGAGTGCTGGGTGCAGTATGTCATCATGGAACACTTCTACTTCCTTGCTCTTCTCTTCCTCATCCAACAAATAAACAGAGCCTCAATTAGCTTTCCTTGCTGTCAGTATTGGTCAATCAGTTGTGCTAATTGTCCTCATAAATTCTGGATTTGAAAGAGCTTATGTAACATGTTCATCTCCCTTCACCAAACATCAGTGCGTAGGCGTGTTCTTTCAAGCTGGATTTGGCCCAATGTTTTTCTCTTCTAAAACAAGCATG